GGGAGGGTGGCGCCGTGAGCGAGCGGGGACCGGGCTCTCCTGCCCCTTCCCCTGCCCCTGGGCCGCCAGGATGGAGGCGGGGTCGGGGCCCCCGGGCGGCCCGGGATCTGAGAGCCCCAACCGGGCGGTGGAGTACCTGCTGGAGCTGAACAACATCATCGAGAGCCAGCAGCAGCTGCTGGAGACCCAGCGGCGGCGCATCGAAGAGCTGGAGGGCCAGCTGGACCAGCTCACCCAGGAGAACCGCGACCTGCGGGAGGAGAGCCAGCTGCACCGCGGGGAGCTGCACCGGGACCCCCACGGCGCGCGGGATAGCCCGGGCCGCGAGAGCCAGTACCAGAATCTGCGTGAGACCCAGTTTCACCACCGCGAGCTGCGGGAGAGCCAGTTCCATCAGGCGGCCCGGGACGTGGGCTACCCGAACCGGGACGGCGCCTACCAGAACCGGGAGGCTGTGTATCGGGACAAGGAGAGGGACGCCTCCTACCCGCTCCAGGACACTACCGGCTACACAGCCCGCGAGCGCGACGTGGCCCAGTGCCACCTGCACCACGAGAACCCAGCCCTGGGTCGCGAGCGTGGCGGGCGGGAGGCTGGGCCAGCGCACCCGGGCCGCGAGAAGGAAGCCGGCTACTCGGCGGCGGTGGGCGTGGGGCAGCGGCCGCCGCGGGAGCGGGGCCAGCTGAGCCGTGGCGCATCCAGGAGCTCCAGCCCCGGCGCCGGCGGAGGCCACAGCACCAGTACCAGCACCAGCCCGGCTACAACCCTCCAGAGAAAGTAAGGAATGCGTGTTTGTGCCCCGCGCCTCTTCCCCTCTAGATCCCTCTCCAACTTGTCCGGCTGCTAAAGTAAGAAGCCTGGGCCTGATTCCATGTCCGCCTCTCCTGTCCGGACCTGCCAGGGGGAGAAGCGAGGTCCCCTTCGGCCAGCCGGCACCCCTTCCCTTCCCCAGCCACTGAACACTGAGCTGGCTGGATGATGAGTGCCGGTGCCTCTCTCCCAGTTCCAAGGCCACTAAGGGACTAGAGCCATCATCACCCCCACCCCCAACACACACACACACACACACACACACACACACACACACATCTTCAGCCGGAGCTGTATCCTCGCTGGAAGATAGGTTCTCATCTATTTATTTGTTTGTTTTGGATGTACTGGTAGGGATTTTTTTCGTTTGGGGGTGGGGGGACATGGTGTCAACTCAGAGCCCCAAGGGAGAGAGAGAGAGAGAAAGCCCCCCCTCCTTTTTCTGCCTGATCTTATCTCCTCTGGTGGCCAAAGCTCCATCCTTTCCCAGAGAGGCAGGTGAGGACCAGAATGGCTGCTGGAGGCTGAGGCATCCCTCTGAGAGGAAACTGCAGCACACCCTGGCCAGGGGGGAGCAAAGATGGGGGAGCAAAGATGGAGGCCAGGCCTTTGGCTAGTTCCTCAAAGTCCACCCCCTCTCCACCCTTCAGGAAAAAAACAACACCCATTTAAAGAGCCCTACGAGGAAGGGAGGTCTCAGGTCGCCTCTCTGTTGGATCACTTCCAATTCCCGCGCTGTGTGTCCGTCTATTTGGGACAACTTGGCCATGTCTCCTGGGTTGGTGGGACAGGAGCTGGGTCCCCTTTTCCCACGTAGATACCCTTGGGAGCTGCTTGGACTGAATGGCTCAGAAGGAGAGAGTGCACGGTGTGCAGGCGTACAGGGCTGCCTTGAAGGCTTCCTAACTGCTCTTCTGGTGAATCGGAAAGAACGCTAGACCAGGAGTTAGGAGGCCTGGGTTCCCTTTTCAGCTCTGCTGCAGATCGGCTTGGTGACCTTGACTGAGTCCCTTCCTCTCTCAGGCCATCAATTTCCCCCGAATTTTTTTTTTTTAAGGTAAGGACTGCTTCGGATGCTGCCTAAGGGCCCTCCCTGCCAGCTTCCATTCGATGGCTTTGTCACTAACCTAGCCACACTCCAGAGCAAATCCCAAGTCCTCCAGTGAGCGGGCAGGCTTTCCCTCCTGTCACTGCTCAGCTGGTCCTACCATGTGCCACAACCAGTGGAGTGTCTCTTGGCGGCTGGGCTGGGGGTGGGGAAGCCTTCTGCCTCAGGAAATCTGCTGGGAGACAGCTCTCCGCAACTCCCCCGTGGTGAGGCAGCAGGCTGGGGTGCTGGGTTGAGATGGCTGGGCCCCAGGAGCGCCAGCTGTGGCTCCAGGGCTCGCCTGGGCTCCACTGCAGTGTCCCCCAGCTGAGTCGTGTTGGGGACTGCCCCAGGGTAGTCCGGAGCGCGCTGCAGTGGGCTGGGGCCAGGGGGCTGGATGTGGTCCTGTGGTCCTGGAGCCTGGAGCCTGGAGCCTGGCTGTAGAAAGCTTCCCTAGAGGGATCAGGCCCGTGTCGGAGGGAGCAGCCTCCTTGTGTGTGGCACCAGGGAGCACAGCCCGGACCAGTGGGGAGATTTGAGAGAAATAAGGAAGAACTTTCCCACTTGGCCGTCTGGTGATGCAGTGGCCTGCCTGAAGGGAGGGGGCCCAACGGGGGTGGGTGGGGGAGGCTGGGAGAGCTGTAGAAACACAGTTCTCGAATCAGGTAGAAAGTGCACTGAAAGGGCCTGGGCTTCCCCAACTCCACAATCCCAGTGCCATCAGGTTCTCGGCCCTGCAGACAAGGCTCTGAGTCTCCAGGCCATTTCCTCTGGAGCTGTATGCCTCTGCCATCCGTGCAACTCGCTTCCCGGTCTTTCCTTCTGTTTGTGCCCCCTTCAACTTGCTTGTCGGATTTCCTGGCTTCACGTTGCCTACTGGATTCATCGAGAGGTTTAGCTAGCATGTAAGGTTTCTCTCCTAACCACACAACAGCTATTTGCACATCCATGATGATGCCATTTGGCTCCTCCCAACAAGCCCTGTGCAATGAGCATTAGTAAGTCCATTTCAGAGATGGGGAAAACTGAGGCTCCAAGAGTAAGGGACCTTGCTCAAGGTTACACTACTAGTTGCTAATGGAGCTGGAACTAGGACCCCAGTCTGTCTTTCTCCAAGGCCTGTTAGATTGTCACTAGAGAGAGTACTCCAACCCACAGGAATCTCTTGGCTTCAGGCCCCAGGCAGGTACTGAACTGGAAGAGGCCAGGAGAGCCTTAGATATCAAGAGGGTTTGAACAGGAGATGAATCTGAGATGGGGGTGGGAGTGGAAGGGGGAAAGGGCGGGGAGGGGGCAGAAGGCTGTGTCTCCCTCCTTTCCATCTCCCTCTCTGCCAGGCGTCAGGAGGGTCTGTGGGTGCAGTAGCCATTGCTGCCCCCGCTGCCGCTGCCAGCGACTCCCCTGCGAAGCCTGTTCTGGGTTTGTAAGGAGTGGGTGAGAAGACTGCCGCTGGAAGCGCGGGCAGGCGGGGTGGGAGTTTCAGCAGCAGAGGCTGCAGCATTGGGGGAGGACAGGCAGAGCCAGCAGCCAGCACAGGCTGGGCGCTCCTGGTCCCCAGGCTCCCTCTGGTGGACGAAGTGCACAGGGTAGGCCTTGGCCAGCGAGCTGCAGCTGGTTGGTGGTGGTGGTGGTAGTGGGGGCGGCCCGGGTCTGCCTAGGGACTTTATTTAGTCCTCTCAAGGATGCCGTGTGTCTGTCAGCACAGTCGACGGGGAAGAAATTGAGGGCAATGAGCAGTGAAGCCCACCGGAGACCATGCAGTTAATAAGACAGACTCCCGATCCTGTGAACTTTCCCTCCCCTGCATCGGATTCCGGCTGCCATGCTGTCCCCAGGCGTACCAACCACCCACGACTCCCACATCCTCCCCCCACTGGCCCTTTTGGACGGGTTGCAGGGAGCTGGGATCCCTTTGGCTGGGCGTGGCCTGTCTAGTGCAGCACCGAGTGAGCGAGATGGGTTCTCCTCGCTCCAAGGGGGTCTGGCTTGTATGTTTTGTAGTATTTGCGGGTCCTGACTGCTGCTCTGGTGTTCCTACAAGGAATCGTCGCCCTGCCCCCTCCTCCTGGGCCCCGCTCTTGCTGTGGATCTGGGCCTGGCTCCCTTGCGGTGCTGACACCCGGAATGATTTATAGGCGTGCTAGGGGCTACTGCTGAGTTGCTCCATGCTGAAGAGAGCTGCAGTTCCCACGCTGCTTGCCTGGGCCCAGCTCCAGCTCTGCTGCAGGCGGCAGTGCTGGGCTGAAGCTGGGAGGGCCGGAACTCTGCATCCACTGCTCCCACTCTCCCCACCCCGCAGCCTGGCTCATATTTGGGGACAGCACCTGTCCTCACTGTGGCATGGCGTGGCGTGGCATGGCGTGGCGTGGCATGTGGGCCGAGGTGCTCAGGAGCACCCTGGAGATGTCTGGCTCCTTTTGGCTCTTGGGTCCTGTTCCCCGGGGGAGGAGAGGTGGGGGTCTCTCCTTCTCCCTGAGGAAGGAAAGCCATGTCTCCCCCCGACACACACACACACACACACAGTGTTGTAAGCATTATCTTCGTGTGGCAGGAAATAATGACTTTGAGTTGAATGACAATTTGGGGGATCTTGCTTCTCTGTCTCAAGCCGGGGCAAGAATGGGGTTGTTGTCACACACAAACATTCCGTGGCCGTGGCCATGGCCGTGGCCGTGGCTGTGCACTGTGCCACCCAGCAGGAGGGACCAGCAGGCTGAGCAAACACCATGCTCGCAAGCTCAGCGGGGCCATAGGGAGCGCTCGGGGCCACAAGAGGAGCAAGAGTGGTAAGGGCTGAAGCTCCTCTGAAGTGGCCACGCCACTGCTTGCTAACCTGGGCTGGGTGTGTGTGTGTGGGGGGGTGCTTCAGATGAGAGTGGGTGGTCCTCTGGTGTCCAGTGGAGGGGGAGTGCAAAAAATGCCAGACCCAAGGCTGGCCACTTGCACCTGTTCCTCCTCTGCTCCATCCCTGCTTCCATGGCCTCAGAGTTTATTGGGAGTCTTCCATGGGTTAACTGTGTTTTTTTTTTTCTTACTGCACTTACAGTGTGCCAAGCACTGTTTGTTCTGAGCACTTTCCACAAATGCGTCCCTTCAGTCTGCATTCGAATCCTTTCACATAGATGTTGTGGTTGATCCCATTTTACCGATGAGGACACTGAGGCCCAGAAGTGTGAAGGAACCAGAAGGAGCTTGGGTGGACAGACTCCAGGGCCTGCAGCACTCTTGCCCACCACCATGCAGTACAGCTTCTTGTCCCCTGTGCACAGCCCCAGCGACATGAGTGTTCTTATGACCCTCATTTGTCACATGAGGAAACTAGGATCAGAGAGGTGTAGTGATCTACCCAAGGGTACACAGCAGAATGAGGCCAAAACTGGCTGCCTCCCAGGCCCATGGCCAACTCCTGCCTCCCACCGGTGGGCTGTAAGGTCCTTGAAGCCACTCTAGGTGTGGCTGTGGCTCCCCGCCCCCAGAGTTCCCAGGACGGCTGCCCCAGGCAGGCTCCCTGTCCCTGCCCCTTTTGTATCTTTGAGGTTCGTTACATCTCGTGTCCCCGCTACCAGACTGAACCTCTGAAGGTACTCAGATTCATTTAGATTTATTATTTGCAAAGCAGAATGACAGCGAGAGAGAGAGAGAGAAAGAGAGAGAGAGAGAGAGAGAGAGAGAGAGAGAGAGAGAAACAGAGGTTGCAACAGCCAAGACTAGGCCAGGCTAAAGCCAGGACCCCAGAACTCCATCTGGGTCTCCCACATGGGTGGTAGGGGCCCAAGCACTTGGTCCATCTTCCCCTGCTTTCCTAAGCACATTAGCAGGAAACCCGATTGGAAGCTGAGCAGCTGGGACTCGAACCAGCACTCTGCTAGGGGCTGCAACT